GACTTGTCGAATAAATCCGAAACAAGGGCTAGTTGTGTAAATTGCGGCCACTCGGCAAGGATCACGGTGGCTAGCTCTCCAATTAGGAGAGAAATTTGATTTAGGCATATCTAAAGGTGAATAAATATATTTATTGTATCTCAGCAGCCTACAATCCTTAAGAGATTGATGTATCAGACGAAACTGACAGAAATACTAAAGTTGAGATAAACACATCAGGATTTTTAGTCACATCGCATTTATACACATCAAGCCAGAATGAGAAAACGTTAGGACCAAGACAATCAAGCTTATGGTTGTATATAAAAACAAGATGAATGACATGAAAACCATGTAAAACATAACCGAAGATTTATGAAATGCGTCAAAAATCCTGGGGAAGACAGGCCACATTGACAATCAGGATCGCTAAAAAAGATAGATGTAAGGATGATGAAGATACAAGGGAGTATACAAATCAATGCAAAACCTGGGCATTGTAGGCTGCCAGTTCGGCATCCAACTCTTCCTTTGTAGGAACAACTTTTTCTTCACGGCCCCTGCGGCCTCTGCCAGCACCGCGACCGGAAAACGGACCAGAGACGCCTCTCCTGTTGGCTGGCCTGCGGCCTGCAGTATTATAGCTGATTCTGTTCACAGATGCAGCCGTGTTGACTCCGTCAGGAGTGGCGGTGGCTACAAAAAAACAAATCTTTAAAGGATGTTGAAGATTTCAAGAAACTGAGCTGCGGTCTAGGGAACTTTTCAACCATACACGTGGAAAATTAATGCAATCCTGACAACATTCGATTCAATTACATGTACTGACACCTCATAAGACTGCCATAAGGTAAACTAATCTCCGAACCATACCACGCCTAGAGGAACTGGGCGTAATATGTGGAAAACCAGATAAATAAACTACCGTCAGTAGCAACAAATTGGCACGCATCAACCCGCCGGGAGAATGGACGGTGCTCGCGCAGAACAGTCGGTGGATCCCTGGCTGCTGACGGCTCGACTTCCACCAACTCGCCTTGTTATCCAAATTCACGCGCAATTAACCAGCATTTAAAGTATGGACTGACATCCATACATACATCACTGAGTCCTGCGGGTTTCTGGCCCACAAACCAGATATCTATGTTTCAGGCTAAGTTCATAACATTTAACAGTTCCAAAGTGAAAACTCAAGAGTTGAGCAGACTCAGGTCTTCGGGGAGGTTGAGCGCCACAGTTCGCTCGGATGACCGTCGGGTTGTTAGCTCCGACTAACCTGCGCCGCCAACAAGCTGGATGTTCATTGGCCGACCATCAAGAGGGACACCGTTGTAACGATTTTGGGCTTTGATAGCACTCAAGCGGTTGAGGTATACAACCTCAGCAGTCCCCAGAGAGCGGCCGCTTCTATCGTAATGTACTGCCGCTCTTCGCATTGGGCCAAATTCTTGGAATAATTCCTAGGAATATGGCAGAAAGGAATTATTACTCTAATATCGCTGTCATTGACACCAAAATCCAGATTAGAAATCATCAGTTTAGCTGGGCCCTGTGTGGGTCTTCTTTCTTGGAAAAGGTCATGCTGCCAACGATTAGCCATATTTCGTCTAGGTACCTAAAGAGATAAGGGAAAAGATGACGAACCACTCTGCCGGAATTGCGGCGAACTATCCTACCCTGACGAACACCACGAAGGGTAGAACCTCCTCGTCCGCGCTGTCGGCCTGTACCTCGTATGGAAATTCTATTCTGTTTGATAATATCATCCAGGCTCATTTCGAGAGACATTTCAAGGAGGGCCGAGGGCGGGCAGATAGGATAAAGAAAGGAGGCGCGATTCAAAGAGACTGGGGTGGCTTAAACTTTTCCAAAGGTATAATAAACACAGAATTAAAAGTGTTAATAAAATTCCAAATGAATACTTGTTACGTCAAACTATCAAATTATTACATTAAAAAAAATTAATTTAATTGTTTAATTGATATCAAAAAGTATAAATAATAAGATATGTTTTGGATATTTAATCTTTAGAGATCATTTATCTGGCGGTCCTATGATAGGTCAACTATGACTACCATTTTTGTCAGTACTTCCATCTTCCTTATTATTTCTATTTACAATTTTTAGGCCGTTTCGATTTTCA